CGAATCAGCTCCACCGAGTCGGGGAGCTCAGCCGCGTCGCCAAACTCCGTACGCCAGGCGTCGCTCAGACGGGCGAAGCAGCGGGTCTCTGCGTGACCCAACGTCCCGCAAGGCTGACCAGTCCGAGCACCAGTGCGAATGACGTACGGACAGCGAGCAGTACCCCGTGACCCGTCACGCTGAGCGTACCACTCACGAAGCTGCTGGGGCGAAAGGACCGCTCGCGGACGACGCTGAAGCTGCACCTGGCCACTACAAGCAGCTGCCGAACTACTCACTCCAGGACGACTCCCACTACGGCCACCCCGACAACCCCAACTAGCGTACCACTCACAAAGCTGTTGGGGGGTGAGGGACTCACGCGTGCGACGCTGCAGCTGCACCTGGCCACTACAAGCAGCTATGGAACTTCTCACTCCAGGACGACTCCCACTACGGCCACCCCGACAACCCCAACTAGCGTACCACACACGAAGCTGTTGGGGGGTGAGTGACTCACGCGGGCGACGCTGGAGCTGCATCTGGCCACGCCAGGAGCAGCAGTAGCAGTAGAAAGAGCAGCAGCAGTAAGAGCAGCAGTAACAGCAGTACGGGCAGGGCAGTGCTCACCAGTGGCGAGAAGGGCAGGCGTACGACGGCGGCAACGGCGAGGCCGCTACCACTGTAGAGCGAGAGCTCCGCGGCAGCTGCAGGGGTGGCTGATCCAGGGGCGGCAGTTGTAGGGGCGGCTGCTCCAGGGGCGGCTACTGCAGTGGCGGCTGCTCCGGGGGCGACTGCTGCAGTGGCGGCTGCTCCAGGGGCGACTGCTGCAGTGGCGGCTGCTCCAGGGGCGGCTGCTGCAGTGGCGGCTGCTCCAGGGGCGGCTGCTGCAGTGGCGGCTGCTCCAGGGGCGGCTGCTGCAGTGGCGGCTGCTCCAGGGGCGGCTCGGCTGCTGGGCGACTCGGCAGCTCAGCTGCTGGGCGGCTCGGCGGCTCGGCTGCTCGCTAGGGGCGGCGACGGGGCCGGGTAGGGGCGGCGACGGGGCCGCTAGGGGCGGGGAGCGGCGACGGGGCCGCTAGGGGCGGCGACGGGGCCGCGTAGGGGCGGCTACGAGGCCGCGTAGGGGCGGCGACGGGGCCGCGTAGGGAGGGAGGTGGCGACGGGGCCGCTAGGGGCGGCGACGGGGCCGCGTAGGGGCGGCGACAGGGCCGCGTAGGGATGGAGGAGGCGACGGGGCCGTTAGGGGCGGCGACGGGGCCGCGTAGGGGCGGCGACGGGGCCGCTAGGGGCGGCGACGAGGCCGCGTAGGGGCGGCGACGGGGCCGCGTAGGGAGGGGAGCGGCGACGGGGCCGCTAGGGGCGGCGACGGGGCCGCGTAGGGGCGGCGACGGGGCCGCGTAGGGGCGGCGACGGGGCCGCGTAGGGGCGGCGACGGGGCCGCGTAGGGAGGGGAGCGGCTACGGGGCCGCTAGGGGTGGCGACGGGGCCGCGTAGGGGCGGCGACAGGGCCACTAGGGGCGGCGACGGGGCCGCGTAGGGGCGGCAACGGGGCCGCGTAGGGAGGGAGGCGGTAACGGGGCCGCTAGGGGCGGCAACAGGGCCGCTAGGGGCGGCGACGGGGCCGCGTAGGGGCGGCAACGGGGCCGCTAGGGGCCGCGAGGGGCCTGGAAGGGCGGCGACGGGGCCGCTAGGGGCGGCGACGGGGCCGCTAAGGGTGGCGCGAGGGGCCGTGAGAGGGGCCTCTAAGAGAGCTCGACAGAAGGGCGGCCCACAAGGCGCGCCTCGGGCAGGAGCGACTGTCGCTCCGGTCAGAAAAAAAAGGTTTCAGTGGTGGGCCCAAGGAAGCGTTCCCACTAGGGAACCTGCTCTATACCATGTCAAGAAATGAGGAATGAATGAACTAGCAAGCAGGTGGGTACAAGTAGGAAAACCTAGAAGTCTTGTACCCCATATTGTCTACCCCACTATAGCCTACACAGACTATAGCATATGAGTTTGACAGGCCTAGCAAGAGCCGAATCTCGTGTGCTCAGCACGTATCTCAGTCGGATACTGCGCAGGATTGTTTCATCGTACTGGCGGTAGTTGGAACCACGGAAAGGTTGTTGTCAGAATGTTATTATCTAGCCTGTAGTGGGGTGCTCTATAGCGAGTACAACCCTGTTAGGGTTTGCTATATGTATCCCAACTGCTGCTAGTGAAACCCCTCCTTTGTTCTTTTCTCTCTTGCCTAGCTAGCTAAACCCTAGCTATGGCTCCTTACTCTGCTTACTATCGTAACAGTTGTTTGCATGTTGTGGTGTGTGCATGCTCATACAAGCTTGTGCAGTACTCGCCCGGAGCACCACCGAGCCGAAAATGGATTTTCATCAGGTCCCATCCGTCGCCATCGCGTGGTACTTGCGATTGCAATAGGCGAACCAATCTGGAGTGTATGGAGGGGGTATAGAAAAAGAAACTAGTTCAAAAGAAAGCAATCATGGAAAACCATGTATGCACTACGCTTTCGTTGCATACTTGTGGTTAGAATACGTACTCTTGGGTAGCCTTGACGTACTCATCCAGCATCGCTTTCGTGTATGATGACGCTCGGAAATATTTGTCGAACCATTCAACAAACTTGCGCAGGACATGCATGTGGGCGTCCGTGATTAGGCCCTCCAATAAAACCACGGCAACCTGTAGCATGATACCAACACATTGTAATAACAATCATTTAACATGAATGCTGTATGAGAGCGGGGGGAGGAGGAATAGGAGGGAGGGGAACATGCTATTACAGGGGGGAGGGGGGGGGGGAGGGAGAGGGGGAGGGGGAGGGGGAGGGAAGGGGGGAGTTGGGGGAGGGGGGGGAAGATATAAAGCTACATTTGTAGAAAAAGCATTACAAAGGCGTAACAGCATCTACACTCTCGCTCCTAATTCACTACCCCTCACACTCCCTCCACGCACCAATCAAGAATAGGGTAATCCAATAATCCAATCCCCCCATCATCCTACATCCCTCACAACCTACCTTACACTCCCTCACCCTCGGCCCATGGTGTTACTCTCGCCCTTAAAATGAGTTCCCCCTAGGACACCTTATATACCTCCATTCACCCTCACATTAAAATTGCTTAGACCACATGCTACAGCACTAGCCACCCGGTGCAATCAAATACTTTCCATACTTATCTACCCTCTTCTCTCCACCCAGCGGTTCCTAGCATTTTCCCTACCTCACATACCAGTCCACTACTCCTCAGGTAACGAGCATATCCCCTACCTCATATACCATGCCATGAATTTCCCTCAAGTAACATGCATATCTCATACCTCGCATACGAAGCCACTACTCTCCCTCAGGTTACAAGCATGTTCCCTACCTCATAAACAATCCCTTTACTCCCCCTCAGGTAACAAGCATGTCCCATACCTCTCATAGCAACCCACTAATCTCCCTCATGTAACAATAATATCCCCTACCTCACATACCAGGCCATCACCGTCTCTCAGGTTACAAGCATATCCTCTACCCCACAAACCAGGCCACTACTCTCCCTCATATAACAAGCATATCCTCTACCTCACATGCATCAAGATAACTTTCCCACAGGCAACAATCAACTCCCATACCTCTCATACCAAGCCATTAATCTCCCTCATGTATGAAGCACGTTCCCTACCTCAAGTAACAAGCAAATCCCATGCCTCTCATACCAAGCCATTACTCTCCCACCGGTTAGAAGCATGTTCCCGACCTCATATCCAAACCCTTTTCTATACCCTCAAGTAACATGCATATCTCATACCTCGCATTCCAAGCCACTACTCTCCCCCAGGTTACAAGCATGTTCCCTACCTCATATACAATCCCTTTACTCCCCCTCAGGTAACAAGCAATTCCCGTACCTCTCATACCAAGCGATAAATTTCCCTCAGGTTAGAAGGATGTTCCCTACCTCATATACAAACCCTCTCCAATTCCCTCATGTAACAAGCAAATCCCATACCTCTCATACCAAGCCATTATTCTCTCTCCAGTTAGAACCATGTTCCCTACCTCATATCCACCCCCTTTTCTCTCCCTCAGATTACAAGCACTTTCCCTACCTCACATACAAACCCTTTACTCTCCCTCAGGTAACAAGCATGTCCCATACGTCTCATACCAACCCACTACTCTCCCTCAGGTTTCAAGCACGTTCCTTACCTCACATACAAACCCTTTAATATCCCTCACATAACAAGCCATCACTCTCCCTCTCCCCCTTCCCAGCCCCAACTCTCACACTTGGACCCTCCAATGTTATTTCAGCCCCTAACATGCTTATAATATCATCATATCTCGGCTAAGCACCAGCATTAGAGAAACCCCATCTCTAGGGACCTCATTGCTTCTTTATCCTCACTCGCGACGTGCACCATTTTATCCTGGCTTTTTGCGTTTTGCATTGAGATGATTGGCCAACATACCTTCATCATCGCTGCATGTTCTGCAGCCGAGTAATTGGCACCCAGAGAGAAGTAATTTCCTGGTGGCGGACTTTTCACCCCGCAAGAAGGATGTCCTTGTACGAATCTCGGTGTCGCCTGCAAAAAAACACAACCAAGTATAGTCAATTTGCGGTTAGATAAGTCCAAGATTGCAATTCAATGCCTTCCAAAATCGCACTTACTTGTTTGCCTGTTTTCAACATTTGTTCGCGAGAACGATTGACTCCAAAATGTACAGCCATATGCCGATCAAAATGACATGTAAGATATCCGGCTTGATGATAAGGTATGGGTTGCCCCAATCCTGCGCCCGATCCTCCGCTCTTCCAAAAGTCCATATGAAACACTGCATTCAAACCGGGAACGCAAACGATGTTATCGGCTACGGATAATGCCGGTATGAAACGTTTCATTATGGGTTGGAGACATGGTCTATGCGCAGATTCCGCACATCCGAAACACTCAGGGCAAATTATATACAGTGGGTTAAAAACTTGAGTTGTCGGCACAATGAGAATAAAGAATTCAGAACCATCAGGTCGTCAGGGGTTCTTCACACAGTGCGTAAAAGGGTTAGCACGAGAGGGCAGACCACGGCAGGGCATAGCAGGGAAGAACGGTGCAGGAGGGAAGCGCATGAGAGGGCATGGGAGGTTAGAGCAGAAGAGGGCATAACATGGGAGGGTCGAGCAGGAGGGGGCGGACCAGGGGATGGCATAGAATGTGAGGGCATTCGAAATGGAAGGCAAGAATTTGCGGGGGCTGAGAGGGGAAGGGCGGAGCAGGGGAGGGCATACGAGAGGATGGGGGACAGAGAAGGGGAGAGCGGGGCAAGTGAGGGCACAGCACAAGGAGGGTAGGTCACAAATAACATCTCGCCGTGTGTGACGACGCACATGAGGGCAGCGCTTAGTAGGGCAGAGCACAGGGGGGCAGAGCACAAGGGGGCATAGCACAGGGGGTCATAGCATATGATGGCATAGCATATGATGGAATAGCACATGATGGCATAGCACATGATGGCATAGCACGGGATGGCGTGGCACATGATGGCATAGCTTACGATGGCATAGCACATGCCCGCATATCACATGATGGCACAGCACATGAGGGCATATCACACGATGGTATAGCACATGATGGCATAGCACATGATGGCATAGCACATGATGGCATAGCACGTGATGGCATAGCACATGATGGCATATCACATGATGGCATAGGACATGATGGCATATCAAATGAAGGAATAGCACATGATGGCATAGGACATGATGGCATAGCAAATGATGGAATAGCATATGATGGCATAGCACGGGTTGGCATAGCACAAGATGGCGTAGCACATGATGGCATAGCTTACGATGGCATAGCACATGCCCGCATATCACATGATGGCATAGCACATGAGGGCATATCACACGATGGCATAGCACATGATGGCATAGCACATGATGGCATAGCACATGATGGCATAGCACGTGTTGGCATAGCACATGATGGCATATCACATGATGGCATATGACATGATGGCATAGCAAATGAAGGAATAGCACATGATGGCATATGACATGATGGCATAGCAAATGATGGAATAGCACATGATGGCATATCACATGATGGCATAGGACATGATGGCATAGCAAATGAAGGAATAGCACATGATGGCATAGGACATGATGGCATAGCAAATGATGGAATAGCACATGATGGCATAGCACGGGTTGGCATAGCACAGGATGGCGTAGCACATGATGGCATAGCTTACGATGGCATAGCACATGCCCGCATATCACATGATGGCATAGCACATGAGGGCATATCACACGATGGCATAGCACATGATGGCATAGCACATGATGGCATAGCACATGATGGCATAGCACGTGTTGGCATAGCACATGATGGCATATCACATGATGGCATATGACATGATGGCATAGCAAATGAAGGAATAGCACATGATGGCATAGGACATGATGGCATAGCAAATGATGGAATAGCACATGATGGCATATCACATGATGGCATAGGACATGATGGCATAGCAAATGAAGGAATAGCACATGATGGCATAGGACATGATGGCATAGCAAATGATGGAATAGCACATGATGGCATAGCACGGGTTGGCATAGCACAGGATGGCGTAGCACATGATGGCATAGCTTACGATGGCATAGCACATGCCCGCATATCACATGATGGCATAGCACATGAGGGCATATCACACGATGGCATAGCACATGATGGCATAGCACATGATGGCATAGCACATGATGGCATAGCACGTGTTGGCATAGCACATGATGGCATATCACATGATGGCATATGACATGATGGCATAGCAAATGAAGGAATAGCACATGATGGCATAGGACATGATGGCATAGCAAATGATGGAATAGCACATGATGGCATATCACATGATGGCATAGGACATGATGGCATAGCAAATGAAGGAATAGCACATGATGGCATAGGACATGATGGCATAGCAAATGATGGAATAGCACATGATGGCATAGCACAGGATGGCATAACACAGGATGGCGTAGCACATGATGGCATAGCTTACGATGGCATAGCACATGCCCGGATATCACATGATGGCATAGCACATGAGGCATATCACATGATGGCATAGCACATGATGGCATAGCACATGATGGCATAGCACATGATGGCATAGCACGTGATGGCATAGCACATGATGGCATATCACATGATGGCATAGGACATGATGGCATAGCACGGGGGCAAGGCAAGGAAGGGCTTTTCCAGAAAGGGCATAGTACAGGAGGTCAGGATAAGGGAGGGCAGAGCACGGAGGGCAGCGGAGGTTATTGCAGGAGAGGGCATAACATTGGAGGGCAGAGAAGGGGATGGCATAGCAGGGGACGCCTGTTATAAAAGAAAGGCAGAAACACGAGGGGGGGCAAAGAAAGGAAGGGCAGATCAGGGGAGGGCATACAAGGGTAGGGCGAAGCAGGGGAGGGCAGAGCATGGTATTACAGAGCACAATAGGGCATGGGATGGCATGGTTTAGATAAAAATACACCAAACTAGAAAAACATGCCCACCTTCATCATGTGTGTGGAGTATTCCTTTGACAGATTTTCGTCGGCGGCATATTTCCTCTGATCCTCAACCGTGCGAATCTTTGCTGCCCTAGAAGGTTCCACGTTATGTAGGCTTTTATGGTGCACCTCACAGATAGAGCACGGCCTGTTAGCACCATGTTGCTTGGTGCAGGTCACCCTGCAAGTTTCAGGGAAATCTGCCACGTGTGTGAACAGCTTCGGCCATACGGTGTACACCGCCCCAAAGGGATCAGTCAGCATAATTGACCTGCGGGAGACATTTAAACCCATTGGTTAGACCTTGGGTGCGTAATTTACAAAGGCCATTTAATAAAATGGAACCAGACACTCACGTCTTGCACGCTTCATCGAGGGACTTCAGTACGGCCTCACAACATCGCTGGAACAGCATGGTTTCCTGAGAGGTCATGTCAGCGTCTTGAAGTGGTAGAAGATCAACAAGAGCGTGCCTATGCTTGCTCCATCGCACGCTCAAAGGTAGGTTGCTGAATGACAGGTACAACGGCCAGGCACGGCACCGTTCGTTGACTCTGAGGTGTGTCTCATTGCTTGATAGGATTATCGAGCAAACACATTCCTTCTCTCCAAGTCCCTTCTGCCAAGTGAAAAAATGGCACATGTTGAGTGTGCAAGGCATATACATAGAATGCAACAAATACAATGCAAAAGATTCACCTGTGACTCTATCCAGAAATCAGCAGTTTTTGTTCCAGCGTACACACGTTTGCCATTCACCATCTTGCGGGCAGCTTTATGAATGAACCCCTTTTGGTTGCGTGGATCAGCCCACATGCGTCGTAGAGCCTGTAAATCATACCCATAAATCACAAATCCATATTGATAGTACAAAATAGCAAAACACAGCCACCATCTATAGCAAATCATTAACATTTACCTCTATCGGATCCAAAAACTTCACTTTGAACATACGGTGCCACCCCTCATGCTCTTACCACACCTCAGGCACTCGCACTATCACCGTATGTTCACAGCGAGCGCACGTCCCGAGGCTCCTCTCGCCGTGCGCTCGCTCCCACGAGCCGCATTCACAGCGAGCGCACGTCCCGAGGCTCCTCTCGCCGTGCGCTCGCTCCCACGAGCCGCATTCACAGCGAGCGCACGTCCCGAGGCTCCTCTCGCCGTGCGCTCGCTCCCACGAGCCGCATTCACAGCGAGCGCACGTCCCGAGGCTTCTCACGCCGTGCGCTCGCTCCCACGGTCCGCATTCAGAGGAGCGCTCGTCCCCACGTTCCCTCTCGCCGTGTGCTCGCTCCCACGGTCCGCATTCACAGCGAGCGCACGTCCAGAGGCGCCTCTCGCTGTGCGCTCGCTCCCACGACCCGCATTCACAGCGAGCGCACGTCCCGAGGCTCCTCTCGCCATGCGCTCGCTCCCACGGTCCGCATTCACAGCGAGCGCACGTCCAGAGGCGCCTCTCGCAGTGCGCTCGCTCCCACGGTCCGCATTCACTGCGAGCGCACGTCCCGAGGCGCCTCTCGCCGTGCGCTCGCTCCCACGGTCCGTCTCCGCATACCTTTGTGCTAGTCAAGGTAAGAACCTTGACTGGTGCTGTATCCACCACGGCGTGTCTCTAGCACAAGGAAGGAATTCACGCATAAGCCAGTGTCACATCTGCTTCAAACCAAAACAGCGCGTTTTATTCCTTTGAGGGTACAAGAAGACCACGGATAACCAAACATGAATCTGTTTGTCACATGGGTGGATGGATGGCCAGTAATTGTTGTCAATTGCTGCAGCAATCATTGCTGCAGTCTATCACCTCCAACAGTCTATGGACCCTTCCACATTTTGAATGGCTTGTTTTGCTGTAGCAATCATGCCACCACAAGTTATGGTGCAAGTTGATTGAGTGCATGAGAGGAGGTGTGATCTAGATACTTAGCAATTGCATGTATCAAAGCAAGTTGCAAGGCCAGCAATGGACTAAACAATCAAATTGAGTAACTCTCACGCTGAGTTGGAATGTACACATACTCTTTCCTGGTGGACCCTTCCAGATTTTGAATGGCTTGTTTTTTGTTGTTTTGTAAGGCACCACAATTTCATGTGCAAGTTGTTTGAGTGCATGAGATGAGGTTTGATCTAGATACTTAGCCATTGCATGTATCAAAGCACGCTGCATTGCCCACCATGGACTAAACAATCAACTTGAGTAACTCTCACGCTGAGTTGGAATGTACACATACTCTTCCCTGGTGGACCATTCCAGATTTTGAATGGCTTGTTTTTGCTGTTTTGTTTGGCACCACAAGTTCTTGTGCAAGTTGTTTGAGTGCATGAGATGAGGTGTGATCTAGATACTTAGCAAATGCATGTACCAAAGCAAGTTGCACTGCCCACCATGGAACCAAAGACTCAATTGGTATGATGTGAAGGGTGTGACGTGATGCATTGATACTTGGTATGATGGCTCTTCAATTGTCCTTCCATGAAGGAAGAGGCTCGCTGGCTAGCATGGCACTTTCTCCCCATAGACTAATCTATTCTACACTATCCTTTTTTTACAATTCAGACGTGTATGTGCATTTCCTCGTACAGATACACATCAACCCAATAGCAAACCCCTCCAATAAGATCGTGTAAACCACACGGCCATAACCCGTATCATTCAACCAAGCGTCTATGTACCCGAAAATGTGGGTGTACATTATTGTTAGGCTGTGAAACTCCAACATAGCCCTTTCATTGATTACATGATTGTCTCTAAGCCTTGGGGTATTGTTATGAAAGTTTTTACGTTCCTAATCATAACGTATACCCAGCAAATGTATCATCCAGGCCCTAGACAAATGCTGAATGCATGATCGTATAATTACAGGCTCGTTGGGACGTCGGCGGCTTCGCCCGCAAGCAAGGTGTTTTCTACGGGCTGATCCATGTCGACGCTGCTGAATGACAGGGCGCTCGGCGACGTGTTGACTGTCGCCGACCGGAAGAAGAGCCAGCTCGACTAGGCTCTATACTTCAAGGCTGGGTGCTGGTCTACGTCGACGACCTACTTGCTGGCAGCAACTATCATGCTAAGCTGAACGAGCGGAAGGGGCTGCTGGAGGACGCCTTTGAGCTGCGCGAAAAAAGCCCGGTCGAGAAGTATCACGGGCTGGAAATCGTGTGCTATCGACCAGCGAGCAAGTTGTGGCTTCACCATGAAGTCTGTGTCGACAAGCTGCGTCGGCGTTTTATCGACGAGGAGCAGACCACTCGCGTGCCGATGACGCCGGTCTCCGTCAACGCCAATGCAGAGCGTATTATTTTACGACGAGGACGCGCAGTCGCGCGAAAATGATGAGTATCGGCAGAAGGTCGGCATGCTGCAGTTTGCGGCAACAACGACGAGGGTGGACATTGCATTCGCGTGCAGCAAGCTGGGGAGCGGCCTGACAATGCGGAGTGAGAACCACTGGCGCGAGGTCGACCATTGTATTCACTACCTCGCCAACACCCGTGACACCACGGTGGAGTTTGGCGGTGGACCAGAGTCGCCGTGTCTGGTGGGCTATGCAGACGCCGACGACACTAGTGACAAGCACCTCAGGATGAGCACGGGCAGCTCTTGTTCTTCTTCGGTGGGGCCGCGGTCTCTTGGTCGAGCATGCGCATCAAATGCGCGACGCTCACGTCCACCGAGACGCATTACGTCGCGGCCACGGGAGCTGGCAAGGAGGCTCGCCGACTGACCTCCCTATATGCACAAGTTCATGCTGCTCGACGCCTGGAAGCCTACTGTCCTTCACGTGGACAACCAGTCGACCACCACGGTCGCACTGGGCTTGGGGCTCAAAGGAAACCTTAAGCACATAGGGCGATGCTACGCCGGGCTGCATCAAATGGTGAACAAAATTGGTACAGCAACTCACCGCCTGGTTCGAGAGTACGTCGACAATCTTTGCGCCATCACAATTTCGCATTTTGGCGTCGTTTTTTACTGTCAGGCACGATAGCTCAGTCACAAAAATCGAGCTACGACAGCACAATGGACCGCATTGACTCCTCACGAGCATTTCCTCTCGTCATTTAGGGTACGGTTATAAGACTCACCTGGCTATTTCTCTTAGTATCCACCAACCTAGCTTCCAAAGATCGACAATGGCTTCAGGTCACACGAGCACTAAGGCGTTCATTCCGAGTGCACTCCCTCCGAGAGCGGACCCTGCAAGCAATAACTCGCAACCATGCCCGCATAGTAATGGCTCCAGTGGCGGCAATCAGACCCAACACGTTGTTGTTAATGTTGAAGTCAATGATGTGGACGACGGTACGATACCATCACTTGTCCCATCGTTGGCATCTCGAATACCCGTCCCTTGAGTTTTCCCCTGCTGCCGATAGGCTCGTTCTCATGCCGCTCCCTCACCCATCGTTTTTGCAGGAAACAAGTTTGTTTCTTTGAACGCTGTCTCTTTCAACTCGCCAAAAAAACGCCAAGTTCCGACAAAGTCGAAGCGTGCAGGGCGGAAGGGGAAAGGATATTTAGCCGGTCGCGGAAGGGGACAGCAACCTCAGCAGCAGGAGTGGAGCGAGGCTGTGGCGCAGACAGCTATTCTTGCCGCAGCCTTTTCCAGCCGTTCTCAGTGTTCCACCCCGGCCGCGAACGCTCTCTGCTCGCCATCACAGCCATGCCCTGGACTCCCTGCTGGCTCTACCCACCCCTCGACTCCAGTCGCTCCACTCGCACCCTCCTCCGCCTATGCGCCTGCTTCATCCCACCTTCTCGCAACGCCTCCACAGTCCAGCCCCGGTCTTCCCTCCGCCTCTCTCTCCCCTTCAGGTGCTGCCGCTGCTATCTCACCCTCCTCTGCCTATGCGACTGCTTCATCCCACCTTCTCGCAACGCCTCCACAGTCCAGCCCCGGTCTTCCCTCCGCCTCTCTCTCCCCTTCAGCTGCCGGCGCTGCTATCTCACCCTCCTCTGCCTATGCGCCTGCTCCATCCCACCGCCTCAACAGTCCAGCCCCGGTCTTCCCTCCGCCTCTCTCTCCCTTTCAGCTGCCGCCGCTGCTATCTCACCCTCCTCCGCCTATGGGCCTGCTTCATGCCACCTTCTTGCAACGCTTCAACAGTCCAGCCCCGGTCTTCCCTCCGCCTCTCTCTCCCCTTCAGCTGCTACCGCTGCTATCTCACCCTCCTCCGCCTATGCGCCTGCTTCATCCCACCTTCTCGCAACGCCTCAACAGTCCAGCCTCGGTCTTCCCTCCGCCTCTCTCTCCCCTTCAGCTACTGCCGCTGCTATCTCACCCTCCTCCGCCTATGCGCCTGCTTCATCCCACCTTCTCGCAACGCCTCAACAGTCCAGCCCCGGTCTTCCCTCCACCTCTCTCTCTCCCTTTCAGCTGCTGCCGCTGCTATCTCACCCTCCTCCGCCTATGCGCCTGCTTCATCCCACCTTCTTGCAACGCCTCAACAGTCCAGCCCCGGTCTTCCCTCCGCCTCTCTCTCCCCTTCAGCTGCTGCCGCTGCTGGTGTGCAAGTTTCAGCACACTTCTGCACCTCGCCTTCACAATCTGGTCTCCCCTTCACTGTCGCTTCCCTCCCAGCTACCCTCGCCGCTCTCTCACCCTCCTCCGCCTATGGCCATGCTCCCTTCTCTCGTCTCGCCCCACTTACACAGACCACCGGTCTTCCCTCCGCCATCGCCTCACAAGCTACCCTTTCCACTCTCTCACCCTTCTTTGCTGGTGTGCAAGCTTCAGCACACGCCCGCACCTCACCTTTACAATCTGGCCTCCCTTTCACCATCATTTCCCTTCCTGTTACCTTCGGAGCTATCTCACCCTGCTCCGCCTATGGGCTCAATACCTCCCACCCTCTCACCTAACATTTACAGTCATGCCCTGTTACTGGCTCCGCCTCCGCCGCTGCAGCCGCTACACAGACTCCGTCTTTCATCCATTCTCATCCTTCGTCCAGCCAGCTTGCTGCTGCCGCTTTCTTATCCCCTGGACTAGCATCAGCCTCGGTCTTCACTCTTCGTGCTTCTGCTGCTTGCTCCCCCGCTTCGCCCGTGACGCTGCGAGCTCTGCCTTCAGTTTCCCCCGCACCCACTTCCTCAACGCCCCTTTCAGCCTCACATCTGCCACAGGCAGTACGGCCGTGGAATCTTCGACCACGTAAGCAGAAGTCCACTCCCACCGACCCGCCTCCAACACAGGCCGATGCCAAAAATCTTGATGAGGAGTCGGATGATGATGACTCGCTTTTTGTTGATGGTCCCGAGAGGGAATCCGAGGGCGCTGCTGTACCACACCATGGTGCATCGAAGGGCATTCGCGCCAACTGGAAGCATCGCAGGCAGAACGCCGTGCTCTGGCTCGTCGTGTGATGGAACTGGAGAATGAACGTATTCATAAATCAACTTCCCCACATTAGCCCACACCTGGAATGGGTAATTCCAATCCAACCCTTGTCCAGCACGGTGTTACCATCCCTGCTGCCCCCGATGATCACCCCAATTCTGCCTCCTCCACTCCTCCAGCCCTTACTCCCAACAGCATTGCACCCTTCAGCCAGCCCACTTCCGTTCTCCCCCTCTCTCCATCCAACGTGGTGTGGCCGCGCACTCAAGCCGCTTTTTGTCGTGCGGTGGCAAGGGCACATGTTCGAAGGGAGACGATTGACTGCTCGAGAATGAACCAACGGCAACGAGAGTGGGCAGTGAACACGATTACTGCACTGGATGCTGTTCCGGACGTGCGTGCTGGCCTTGCGGTGAGCCTTGCTGAGCTTTTTGTAGCCTTTTCATGCCTCTATTTCCCCCCCTCCATTCCATGCCTGAAATACAAACGTCTCATGTCCGTTCTGGCAGTTTTGCCTTTTTACTCCAACATTCACTCCTCAGTCCGTACATTCCCTGCCAAGCCCACTTTTCCCCTCCCCCATCACCCATTCCCCCCAAACTCCCCTCTCCCCCCCCCCCCCCTTTTCCACCCATCCTTCCCTCCCTTCCCTTTCCATACTGTCTCTCATCTCTTGCTTGCCACTTAGGCGCCTATGAAAGAGGCTACGGACATCATATTTTTTTGCACAAACCTCCATGACTTCACGATGTACCCCAACCACGAACAAAAGGAGTCAGCTTTGTCCTTGGCACTAGGTCTCCTTGAGCCTGAAGAGCAGGACATTGTCGCTATTGTTCTCAAAGCCGATCCCTACCGGAGCGGGTACTACACCAAGATCATTCACGAGTTTCGACACGATTCGCTGAATAATGGGCGCAATTGGGTTTACGATTTCTTCTACCTGGAAGTGCCAAGGCCGAAGCTTGGCGGGAAAAGGCAAGGAGGGACCACTGTCGTAAAGTTCCTAGCCCTTTATGGTCCCAGTGAGTCCCCTTTCCCTTTCCCATCATCCGCCTTACCCACCCACAGCGCATTTTCCCCTTTCGATCCTTTGATTTCCTTTTTTCTCGAGACCTCTGTATAATCCTCACCTTGTTTCCCACTCTCATCAATTTACGTTTCCCGTATTAGAGAATATACCCTAAACCCATATGACATCAATCCCTCCACTCTATATCTCTCTGAACCTCAACCCTGAACCTCCTCTCCCTCCTAATTCCCCTCCCCCTCTTCCTCTTCCCCTCTCCCTGTCCCTCTTCCCCTCTCCTCCTCCCTCCTCCCCTCTCTGAACTCTCCCTTCATCTTCCACTCTCCCTATCCCTCTCCCTCTTCCCCTCTCCCTCTCCCTCATCCCCTCTCCCTCCCCCACTCCCGCATCCCCTCTCAGAGAACAATCCCGAACCCTGTTTGCCTCTTCGCCTTGCAAACATCCTCACGCCTCGTCACCTTCAGCCATACTCACTTTCATTATTCTCACCCTACAAAAGTTTCCCCTCTTCCCCTCGCAGAAATAAGTTGTCCCTAAACCCCTCCTTCATTTTCCAGCACTCTGAACCCTCCCCTCCCTCCTCCCCCCCTCCTTCCTCCCCCCTTTCCTCCCTCCCCCTCACCCCCCAACCCCTAAACCAGGGCCTGCCCTCCCTTCTGGGGAGATAACTACTACAACGGGAGCTAGACTACGGGCTAGGCACGGGTGCTCGTGTGATCTCTGCGTTCTTTGGTCCTTTGTCGTTTTCCTAGTGCACACACAGCTTGCTAGTTCACGGGGAGAATTGGCAAGAGTTTCACTAGAGAAAGTTGACAACAATGGTACAATGAAGTTGGCATGGCAAGACTGTATCAGAGCAAGCATTCAGGTCGGTCGACTGCCAGCGCAGCACGGTCGACCGCGTTCCAGCACGACTTGGTCAACCGCGCTCCAGCAGTGCAAAGTCGACGGCGTGCCAACGTCGTAGGTTGACGGCGTGCCAGTGTTGCTCCCGCAGAACAGCATCGCACCAGCTTCGCAGGTGCTCGCAGATGATTGGCGAGCTGAGCCTCGTCACTTACACAACACACACACCAAGTCATCCTCGTGCTGACGACTCCACCTGATCCGCCATGTCGACCTCGGGATACCACCCCCGAGTTCGGGCTCGCCAACTTCGCCTGGGCGACCGTCGCACTCCTCCGCAGAACCTCGTCACCCAGGTAACCTGGTCGACCAGGCAACCACGTCGACCAGCTGCTCCCGTACGTGCCCGTCGACCTCCCAAGTCAACGACCACCTCCAAGTCGACCTCACCAGGTCGACCACACCCCTCGTCGACCAGCTCCCGGTCGACGTCACTTCTGGTCGACCAGCTCCACGTCGACCAGCAGTCCTGGTCGACCAGCTTCATGTCGACCAGCGCGGTTGTTGGCCGACCACCCAAGTCGGCTACCCGAAGTCGGCGTCACGAAGTCGACGCCCAGCTACTCGACGCCCAACTGCTCCGCGTCCTGAGTTGAGGTCGACGTGGGCCCCTCCTTCGTCGACCACCAGATCAGGCCGACCACCAGCAGATCGACCAGCAGTCCGTCAGCCGACCACCGAAGTCGGCTGCCCCAAGTTGACGTCACCAAAGTTGACGTCCTCCGCAGGTCGACCTCCCTGAAATCGGCGCCACCCTGAAGTCGGCGCCCGTGCACTGGCCCCCGTGCAGGTCGACCTCCTCGTCAACCAGCTCGCCCACTGCTGCAGGTCGGCTGCTCCCCTCACACCCGACCACAAAGTCGGCTCCGCCCAAGCGAGGACGGGGCCAACACACAACTCCCGTTGACACTCCCCTGCCGCGTTCACGCTTGGACCCCCCCAGCCCACACGGCAGTACTCCTCGGAGAAAAGCTCGTCGACGTGCACCCAACACACAGCACGTCGTCCACTGCACCAGCCATGCAAGAGGGCATGGCACCTACTGCTGCACGTTGACAACTTTGTCGCCCACGTCGGCCAAGCGCACCTGGCCGATGGCGACGGAGCACCGGTTGAAGGCCGGATAGTGCAGCGCCTTCGTCAGGAAGTCGGCCGGCTGCTCAGCGGTCGGGATGTACCTCAGTGAGAACTTCCTGCGCTTTACCATGTGCTGCAGCCAGGCCTGTCGCCGCTCCATGTGCTTGAGGTTGCATGTCAACCCCATGCCCTCGGCGACCGTGATGGCCGACTTGTTGTCCACCCGGAGGACAGTCGGCTTCCCAGCATCCAGCTGCTAGAACTCTGCGAGGAGGAAGCGAAGTCGACGTCCCTCCTTCCCGGCTTCCGTGGCCGCCACGTACTCTGACTCGGTCAACGACAGCGTCACGCACTTGATGCGCTGGCTCGACCAGGAGACTGCGGCCCCTCCGTAGACGAACACGTAGCCGCCCGTGCTCGTCCTGTTCTGCACGTCACCGGCGTCGTCGGCGTCTACGTAGCAGACCAGCTCCAGCGACTCAGCTCCACCGCCGAACTCCAGGGCGGTGTCACGCGTGTTGGCGAGGTAGGCAAGGCAGCGGTCGGCCTTGCGCCAGTGCTGGTCGCTCCTCACCGTGAGGCCGCTCCCCAGCTTGCTGCAGGCGAAGGCGGCGGCCTCATCGCCGCAAACTGCAGCGAGCCGACCTTCTGCCGGTACTCCTCCTCTTGTCGCTCCTGCGCCTCCTCGTCGTCGAAGGTGAGCTCGGCGTAAGCGTCGACCGAGACCGGCGTCTTCGGGGTGCGCCCGGTCTGCTCCTCGTCGATGAAGCGCCTACGCAGCTTGTCGGCGTAGCCCTGCTGGTGCAGCCACAACTTCCCCGCCGACCTGTCGCGGATGATCTCCAGCCCGAGGTACTTCTGCAACAGCGAGATCTCACGCAGTTCGAAGGCGGACTCCAGCAGCACCTGTAGCTCCTTCAGCATCTCGGTGTTGCTGCTGGCGGCGAGCAGGTCGTCGACGTAGACCAGCACCCAGCAGGCCACTCCGTCCTTGCCGACCTTGAAGTACAGAGCCTCGTCGACCTGGCTCTTCTTCCACCCGGCGCCGACCAGCACGACGTTGAGCGCCAAGTACCACAGCAGCGGCGACTGCTTCAGCCCGTACAGGCTCTTCAGTAGCTTGCAGACCCGGCCGGTTCCGTCGTTGAAGTAGTCCGGCTGGGACATGTAAAGCACCCGGTCGAGCTTGCTCTGCAGGAAGGCGTTCTTCATGTCGAGCTGCATCAGGTTGAGGTTGAGGACGGCGACAATGCTGAGGAAGATCCTCAGCGTGACGTAGCTGCCCACCGGCGCGAACGTCTCGTCGTAGTCGGCGCCGTACACCTGCAGGAATCCCTTCACGACCAGCCTCGCCTTCTCGCGCTCGACGGTGTCGTTGACGTGGTACTTCGTCGTCAACACCCACCGGTTCTTCATGATGTTGACCCCCGGTGGGCGTTCGACCAGCTCCCAAGTGCCCATGTTGATGAGGCTGCGGATCTCCTCCTCCATGGCGGCCTTCACCGCCGG